GCTGCAGCTCACAGAATCAGCCCCCTGCAAAAACAGCGCTGGAAAGAGCAAATAGAGCGAAATGAGACATGGCTAAAATGCAGGATCTATTTGGTATTTTGAAAAAAAAACTATATTTATATACTTTATATAGGTATGGCCCTACAATATATTGTTCAAATATAGCATAATATGTCCCCTTTAACGTGAACAACTCAGATAAAAGGCTAAAAATATGTACTACTGAGAGTCTGTTACTCATACACGTTCAATATAAATCTTTGTAACAAATATCACCACTTCTGCTCACCTCGAAACACATGCATATCACAGCAACGCATTCTGCATACTGTCTGTGAGGTCTAATGAATGACTCCTCCTGTCCCCACCTGAGGTCCCGTGTCTCACCTGAAGGACCCTTTAGCTGCCCTTAGTGCCTGTGTGAGCTTTACTAATTGTATTTTTGAATTCGACACATGACATTGATCAGAAGATTACCGATTAATCAAATACATCAAAATACTTGAATGCCCCCCAAAAAATTACACATGTTAATTAACGTTTCCGTGTCCATTATTATGCCCAACATTAAAGGGGGTCCCTAGATTAACCAATTTGTAAAGTAATGTTCTTGCAGCTCTAAGAAGCATCAGCATCGTTTAACTGATTTTTTTTTGCTATTCCACGTGTTTACGTTTTAGATTAACTCACACCACCTTGTTTCCAGATATCATATAGCATGCAGCTATTTTCAGCAAAGACCTCTGATAAACCACTGTATGTTACCTGCTCAAACCTACAGCAGAAAAGCAAAGTTATCCCCAGGACTTAGTGGAGAGCTAAAAGGGAGGTAGTAGTGTACTATTTATTATTCATCAGGTGGCCAGATAGGTTAGCATTCACAATAACAACTTTTTAAGGTTATAAGTGTGATTAGAGCCTGTTATGCTTCCCCCAAAATTGTAATAATGCAGTTTTTAAAGAACCTGGTTAAACTGTTGGCTCAGCTGCAGCCACGTCACCACCACCCGTTAAGCACAATATCATTACCAATATAAATAGGGCCAGAAATGAAAGAAACAAAACTGAAGTTTCAATAAACTGGACTCATCAAAATATATTTTGGGGGATCTAATTTAAAAGAAATTGCATAAATGATTTGTTTCTGTGTTTCTTTTCAGGGTCTCCGTACTACTACAGTACATCAAGGGGGGCGGGGCCTGCTGCCACTGCAACAGCCTCCGCCTACGACCGCCACTGACCCCACCAACTATGAGAAGAGGAGGATGAAGAGAAGAGGAAGAGGAGGGACGAGAGGACGGATAGCACCAGCACTGCACAGTTCAAACCTGTCTACGCATGGACGACAATGAGAATGAAGATTTCAAATTTCTGACGTCAGTGAATTTAGAATTTTCTTTGATTGACACGTAAGCCAACAAACGCACTGCTGGGGAGCAAAACAGACATTCTTTATTGGTAATACATTACCATGAGGACACAGGCATGGCAGTGTCAATAACTGATGGAGATAGGACTGGTCAGAAGCAAGTGAATCTCCCGTAAAATATCAAGGCTTGGCATCCCAATCATCTACAAATCCAAGGAGTCAGTGGACAAAGTATGCAACAGTGACTGAAACTGTATTGTGATCTTCTGGGTAAAATGTGATTTCAGGAAGAGAATATTTCCAAGGAACTGATTTGAGTTGATTAGAGCAAAATCACTTTTTCAAAGAACAATTCTTTTTAAGCCCCATCAATCAATCAATCAATCAATTTTCTATGCCATTTTATGGTGAAGTAAAGACAATCCAATTCACATAACTTGACCAAAATCACCCATATCATTATCATTCTAGTCTCTTTACCGTACATTCAACAAATTTCCTGCTGGAATCACAATGCATGATTGATGGGATACCATCATTCACCATGGCAGTGTTCAGCTTCACAATTGAGTGTTCGCTAAGCACTGGCTCCTTCAGTTACTGTTGCAATACCTGTCAAGCTTTCCCTTCTGCAGAACGAAGTAGCCACAAAACAGCATTCCTAGCCAGTAGTCATATAGACTGAGCAAATATGTCCTTTAGTTCAACCAATCATCACCTTGACCCTTCAGAGGATCTCTACAGCTCCATGCACACTGCTTCAACATGTGTAGAAATCCAAAGCTTGACAGGCTTCCCATGTCTAGTTGTGGTTGCTAAGCTCTGATTGGATATCTGCTGATTGGGGGTTAGCTTTAGCAAATGCTAAGTCCCAGGGGTTGAAGCCAGATCCCAATGTATCACAGAACATCTAACATCAGTACTTCCATTCAAACTTTCCCAGTAACTGACCAACAGGCCTTTCAGTAAAAGCACAGCCTAAAATCTGAGCCCTCTGCTGTAAAATAACAACTGTACATGTTCACATCAGACCAAAATCATACCCACTAGGGAGCGTTATTGTACAGGAAGGTGCTATCCTACCTCCCCGGCCAAGATTTAGTCCTGAACAAGAGCTATTTATAATGGGAGGAGACACAGAGTAATATATTAAGAAGTTTTCTGCGCTGCACTCCGTGATGAGAGTGAATGCCTGTAATGATTTATAATTATGTTTCACGCTGTTGTGCTAGAATAGTGATGATGATGATGATGATGACGATGATGATGATGCAGTGAAATATGAAATCTTAATAACGTTCAATATGAAAAAAAGTATTGTTTATAAATATGAACCGATTGCGATTTTCTTGTTTATAGTTTGTTGCCTGGTATCAGTTGACACAGGTGCCATTGAATAAGATGCCATTTGTATCTGCTTCCTGATTATTGATGTGAAGAGACAGGAAGCAGTGGCACCCTCTCTTTCTCTCTCTCTCGCTCTCTTTCTATTTCTCTCTTTAAACTCCCCAAAGATGGGCCCCCACTAGTGGATCGGCTGACTAACTACAAAAGCACAAAGAGACTCAATCATCATTTAAAGGCGACATTTTACTTTTTTGACTTCCCTTTAGAACCATTAAGTAATTCTTCGTCTTCTACTGCCCCTTTTGAGTGCTTGTCCTTGTGCTGTTTGACATCCTGAAATTGTTTCTATAAAAGCATTGCGTTCGTGAAAACACAAGTGAAACTTTTATTTTTGTTTGTCTCCTACATCAGTTCTGCGCTGTGACAATGTATGACACCAGGGTCGAGGCCTTACCCATCATGTACAGACAGAAGGACACAGTTGCCCAGCCCTCAGTGCTGATCTGATATCAGTGTATTATATGTGTGAGGGCCCACAGTGTTGATCTTGTGAAAGGGCAATATCTTCCTAAACCTGTACGTAGCTTCATGTCTCATTTATGTTCATTCAAACTTGTACAGCAATCAGTGATTAGGAAGATAAGTCACAATGTCAATAGCAGTTTCAACTTTTCACAATTTAGATTTTAGTGATAAAACTTTCTTTATGATAAAAAAAAAACTAAGAGGTGTATGGTGTCGTTTTAGCCATTGTCTGCAAGTGTTTACATATCTTTTGTTTGTTTTGGTTCTGTGTGGCTGACTGTAGCGCTTCATTGCTACTGTGTAGTTTTACTAGCCAACCGAGTGAAGGCACCAAATCTGCAGCGTGAGACATACAATTTAGCTAAATGAAAAATACCTATAAACACTGAACAAAGCTCTTAGTTTCTCCATCTATGTTGTTACTGGGTTTTGAAAATTGTGATAGTGGATCCTTTTACATTTGTGAACCTTAAAAGTTGTGTATCCACAACTCTAAAGCAGATTCTTATGAAGGCTCGCCTGCTGTGCTGCCAGCGTGCATCGCAGCAGGAGCCTCTCCTTATTTCTGTTGTTCTCTCTTGATCTTTCTGAGGCATTATTGAACCTGAACCACACCAGCTGAAAACAAGGACAGTGCCTTTAGTTTTATATGTCAACTCCCCCCCCGACTGACCACGCATCATAGAAACAAGATTTATGGTCCCTCCCTGCAACTCCTTAAACAAAAGCCTGCGCACACATGGCCAATTTTATATAAAGCCTTTCACGAATAAATAACAGCCAGTTATTCAAACTCTGGTTACCAATAGTAACATTGCAGCTCTGCTAAGGAGATAGCCCTTATCCAGCACCATTTCAGTCAGAGATTCATAAAAATGGTCATGAAAGTCATCATTCCTGTAAGGAGGGTTAATGTATTTAGCCATACAACTGTTTCATTGATTTCCATGAAATTGTGTTAAACATTCATGTTCCCCAGAGGATGAACCCTTATTATCCTCTAGTGACACCAGCAGGTCCAGAGTTTTTAATAGTATCAGCTACATTATGGATTGGCACATTTTAAAAAGAAACTCCTGATTCCAAGAAAATGTACTAATGTACTTTGGTTATGCACTCACTTAGTGCTACAACGAGGTTGGCTTGTGGTTTTCAGTGAAGGTTTTTCAATATTTTAGTTTATGCTTGTATGATGGGAAACATGGCATACAATTTACCTGTTAGAATTGTGTTTGTGAACATGTTTACATTAATATCAATGCTTTCTGTCACTAAATACAGTCACAAAGCTGCTAGCATAGCTTTACACATTTGTTGTTTTAACCCAATGTGATTTTCTTTCCAACTTCAGTTACTAACAAGATTGTTTTACCATTCCCTGAGTTAATGTTCTGATAATCCTCCCATAACACATTTTCTAACCGAATCTCTGACTGAAATATACAGTTTTGAGAAATATTCAAGCAGGACCAAGATGTGTTGTAAACCGCCCCTCAGTAGGACCAACTGTGTTGACAAGAATAAAGAAAGGCAAAAAATGTATTTATAAGCCACGTAAGCTACAGACATGTTACAACTCTGTTCATCATTATCATTGCTTTTTTTTCATCAAAAAGAGCATCTTACAATTGAATGACACCCGTTTACCACAAAGACACACACACACACACACACACACACACACACACACACACACACACACACACACACACACACACACACACACACACACACACACACACATTACTGTAAACATGAAGAAGTATTGATTGAAAATCGTTCTCCTTGAGGAGGTGATTCCAGTCGTGCCTCCTGTGTCCGCTTGCGAGGCGCTTCGACACGAAACAGCCAAATTCGTAGCCAAGAATACAGCCATACGTTAACAGGATTATTTGTTAACTATGCATCTCAAAGTGACACAGCTTGCCTTGCCATTGCTTTGACCTAATTGGTTCACATGGGGAGAGAATGAGTTCTCATTGGCCCACAGTTGTTTCGATTGGCAGCCATGACATTGACTGCAGCGATCAGGGGGGACTGTCATTGTGGGTGGTACTGTAGGAAGCACGGCAGGCAGAGGCCATGCACACACACACGCACACAAACACGCACACCCTACTACACATAAATATAAGTACAGACACACTCTCTCCCTCCCTTTGTCCTTTGCGGAGTGATCGCCCCTCCTTCCATGCCCCTGTGTTCCCCAGGGGAGGCCAAACCTGCTGTGCCATCAGAAGCTCATCCCATCTTTTTTCTCCCCCTCCCTGAGCCCTAATCTCATCAAATCTCATGCACTCGTCCCCCCTCTCATCTCCTCTCCTGTAGCACTGCCACACCACCAGGATTAGGAATATTAAAACTATTCTGTTGATTACGGGCCTGTGACCTTCCTCAAAAAGTCCTCCCTTCTTTCTTCAGACAGCCCTATTAATCCCTTTTTTTTCTCCTCTCCTATTCTTACTTCTCTTTGACCATTCAGACGTGATGCTCCCTGTCCTGTCAGAAATTCTGCATAGGAATGAAGCAGGTTGTTTGTGCCAAAGCGAGCTCGTTTCAATGTCAATATTGCTGCCGGTATATTCGACCAAGGTTTTTCTGTGGGATTGCATCTCATATTATGTTTTCTCTTCTTGTATCTGTAAAGCATTTAGGACTTAAAGCAACACTAGTTTCAGATCAAACAAAGAAATTTCATTTCCAGCTTTGCTACAGTTTACTGTGCATGAAAATGCATTTGCATCCTGAATTGTTATCCCAGCTCCTAATCAAATAGGAAACAGAAATAAATGCAAATTAGTTTTTTTCTTTATTATGATTTCTAACCGAGTGCGCACCGCCTGACTGTATCTCAATATGAATCCATGAAGATGACTACTGCCTTCCGTAAAACCTGAGGGGATTTCAGCATCACATCTTGACAGCAATTAGTGGCACAATCTGTTTCATGCTTGCTGATATAACTAGGCCTTGGACAGATATCATACTGAAGTGTTACAATGTTCTCTACATCTTAATATTATTCAACTGTGGAAGAGGAGAACATATACAGGACTCAGCCTACAAATATCCACTGTGCTTTTTAAGCAGATGTTTCAATCAAAAAAAAAGAAGAGAACATGATTTTTCACCTTACTGTGGCCTTTTGTGTAACAATCTGGAGTTTTTGTTGTGTTCATGGCTTCCTATCTGGGGTGTTAAAGAGATATTTATATCCGTAACGTTTTGGTAAATAAAAAAGAAGAAGAAATAAAAGACATCAGACTGCAAAGACAAATTAGGTTTCAACAATACAGCTTGCTCAATTCTTTTAAATCAAACAAGACAAAAAGAAAACATATCTGTAACATTCACCAAAGCCTGTGATGCCTGTTTTAAATAATAGATTCTTGTACAAAAAACATATAAAATAGCAGAAAAGAGTTACAGATACAAACACAAAATGAAGATAAGAATTGCCTTCAGATATTCCGGAGGGGAGGATTTAAAAAAAAAGTAAAAGAAATGCTTCTTTAAGAAAATGTGTATGTTTTTTATTCAATTTTCTAGTAGTTGCAAACAAAACTTGGTGTTTTTTCTCTTTGTGTGTTGTGTGTTGTCTTAATATTTGAATGTATTTTACTGCAGTGCGAATTTGCCAAAGATATCATATCACTTGATTTCTCTCCTTCATTCTTTTTGTTTAGTTCTTTGTTACTGAATTGTGACCAATTTTGCTCAGAAAACTGGAAATAAATGGTGAATTTGATATTTTTCACATTTCTATTGTTAATATTATTGTTATTTTATTTCTTGGGTTTAAGTTTACTGTGGAATATTAAATTGCAGTTTGCTTGATGCATCTCTTCATACTCAGTGTACCTGTCCATCTGTCCACCTGAGTGACTGTTGTTGGTGAATTATTCCATTTATGTACCTGTAATGTGAAGATAAGAAGTAATTATTTGTAAATATTTGCCATAATTTTATTGGTCCTTCAGAATAAAAAATAATTTTTTGGAAGTGAAATTTTCTGTGTCAAATACATTTGCTGCAAATGTATACGTTTTTGGTGAAAATCAACATGTATACAAACAGTACACAGACACACAGTGTATTGCTGGAAAAAAGCCACATTCCTCAACACCCATCATCAGCCTGGATAATCGGAGACTTCCAGAGCAGGATGCTAGTTGTGTTTCGCTGTGACCCTGCTGCGCAGCTTTCATCCAGGGGAGACAGATCTCATCTTATGGCATCTATCTGATGGGGAGAGGGGGAGGACGAAGCTAAACCCCCTCCTTCTCCTCACCCCAACACTCTGAGTGAATGGAGAGTCCCACTGCTGCAGTCTTGGCTGCTGGCCGAGTCCAGGATGGGTTTGTGTGTGTGTGTGTGTGTGTGTGTGTGTGTGTGTGTGTGTGTGTGTGTGTGTGTGTGTGTGTGTGTGTGTGTGTGTGCGTGTGTGCGTGCGTGCGTGCGTGCGTGCGTG